TACAAACAACTTTTGTCCTCTTATACCATTTTTTAGATGCTGAACATTTTGCGAGCAACGTTGAAATCATGCATTTAAAGGAACAGTTCACGATAAAAGTGGTTCCTGATATTTTCTCGCAGTATGGATTTCAGGCCACACCTCATACCTATCTGCTCTTACTAGTTAGGGAAATATCCTGAATAGGGCACAATAAGAGACCAGAGGTTGTATCATGTGAATGCCACACCCACAGTGGACGAGTTTCAAGGGCGTTGTAGAGTCTGCACTATTTAAAGGGGCTCCCTTGCATGGAGCTCAAACTCTGTCATAACCCATGGTGTTAGTGAAAGGCAGCTTCGGAAAAAGTCGGTCTGAGCCAAATCAGCTCTTCGCGCAATGTCCAAACACTGATTACATGCCATTCCAGTCATTCCAGTTTTCGTACAACCCCAACTTCCACTACTTTTGAAAAGTCTTGTTTTTCACGAAATTTCTTGCATTGTTCGCCATCGACGCACTACTCTACGTCAATAGTTCCGCTTCCCAATTTAAAAAAGATACCTCAAAATTATGGTGAACTGTGCCCTCAAGAATAATTCGATATGAAGCGATCAGAGTTCTACGCAAGNTATCGATTGATGTTGTTTTTCATTGAAAAGACATGCTTTGAATGGAAGTGCTAAACTCATTGACACTTATGCATCATCCCAGTAGCTTACCGCTGTTGTCGGGTAGGAGGCCTTTGCACAGCATGGTCAGGATTTCGTCCGCCTTCTTAAGAGGTAAGCCATTCGCTGACACGCTGTTTGATCTGAAAAAAATAGAAAAAGAGCTCGGTAGAGATGACAATCAATGTTTAAAAAAAAGGGAGGCAATCGAGGCTATTCTGAACGCTACAATACTTTTAGTGAGAAAATTTGTTTCATTGAGAAAATTGGCATCTGCCAGTTGGCCTGGATAACTTGAAATATAGAAGTGCACAAGGGTGAGGTCAATGACATATCTGGCTGGCAGGGTGGCTTCATTCGTTTGGAATTTTTTCAAAAGAATCAATCACTCAAAGGTAATGATTTAACTGCTGTTTGAAGTGCCATACGACTAACGTTTGCTCCAGAATCTCTCAGAAGATGCAGTAGTACATTAGTATTGGGACGATTCTTTATCCTACGTCTTCGCAATCGNGATGACAATCAATGTTTAAAAAAAAGGGAGGCAATCGAGGCTATTCTGAACGCTACAATACTTGTACCGCTGGTGTTAGTGAGAACATTGGTTTCATTGAGGGAATTGGCATCCGCCAGTTGGCTTGGATAACTTGAAATATAGAAGTGCACAAGGGTGAGGTCAATGACATATCTGGCTGGCAAGGTGGCTTCATTCGTTTGGAATTGTTTCAAAAGAATCAATCACTCAAAGGTAATGATTTAACTGCCGTTTGAAGTGCCATACAACTAACTCTCTCAGAACTCAGTTTGCTCCGAATCTCTAAGAAGATGCAGTAGTACATTAGTATTGGGACGATTCTTTATCCTACGTCTTCGCAATCGCTTTTTTTAGATTATAGGTGGTGTGGTGGCAAGTGGTGCATTATCGCACACACGTTGTCACGAGTTCAAATCCCGGATCGATATCCGCCTAGGTCAACCAAGCCTTCCATCCCTGCGGAGTTGCTTAATTGGTATCAGACTCGTCTGGGGGATTCAAATTAGATGCAAATAGGTGGAATCAGTGTGCAAGGAGTCCTCCTGAACTGGATCATCCCTCTTCCACTAGAATCACATGCAGGGCGTGGGACTGGTATTGCACGGGGAGATGTAGTTGCGACAGCGTTTGGTTCGCTTCAGTTTGAAGGCCTCCTTTGTCATATAGGTGCTTTTTTAAAATTGCCCCTTTGTACGTTTATATATTTAGAAGGGCAAAAGGATAGACGTTGGCCAATTCGCCACCGCAAGAGATACATCCAACCTCCTTCATGCTTACAGACGTTTGAATGTCAAAATGGGTTCAGAATACTAAAACTCCATTTCACAAAAGAGAGCTGAAATCACTAGTGAATGGGCAGCAAGAAACAATAAAAGGGTAGAATTAGAGCGAACGGTGTGGGACTATATTATAAAAATGGGGTCCACATTCATTTGATCTGAAATAATAGTGGAAACTCGAAGGGCACTTGAGTTCGTTCCGGTCTGTGGAACAATCTATTGATCTCGGCTCACGTTCTGATCGGAAAAAACTTCTGGATGATTCAAAGAAAAGGGCGGACTGAATGACTACTGGTTGTACTTTGAAATGACTCACTGACTCACACAAAAAGTTCGCTAGTGCTTGTAAGACTCGCGACGTGATTTACGTCCTAAACGATTGTCTACCTCTAGGATACCAGACTTGTCTGGGAGGATAAAAGCACTGACTTGTTTATCGGCTGGCCACCGCAATTCATGTATAGGCCACATATGCATACAATAGCCACCACGATTCTGAATGGAAGTGGAGTGCAGGGCGCATCCCTCAGAAAGGTGATTGATGCCCAGGACCTTCATCCTTTATCTTTTAACCAGGTTGAGGGCAGGATATTTATAGGAAAAACAGAGCGGAGGATTTCAAGAAGCTATGTGAATTAAACCATCGATACCAATATTATATGGGCCTTTCTCGTAGTTCGTTGGGGCGGGGGTCGAAAGAAAACCGCAACCCTTATGCCAATTAAAATACTTAAAAACTTATCGTGAATGCGGAGGTTTGAGCCATAGATTGTCGATATGTCGGATTTCATCAACGAAATCTGAAATGGATTCCCTGATAGTTGCCGTTGACGACGATTCTAAAGTATAGCATATCGTTGAAAAAGCTGGAGTGTGTTGTGAAGTATGCTCTCACTACACCTGTGGCCTCAACCCTCTCCTCGAGAATATCACGAAGATCCAAAACACAGTCGGAAACGGTTGCTCCCGGCTGATCTGATGAATGCTTCCAATGAAAGCAACTTTCTCTCGATTTTATATAGCAGCAGTATGAAGACAACACCTCCAGGAGGTCGGAGCTATGATCAATCTGAATGGCATGTTTTAAGGAGATCGCGCCGTACTGGGAGTTTTTGGCAGCAAGAGTAAACAACTGCAAAAGATTGAAATCCAGACAGTAAACCAATGAAAAAACTAGAGATGTTCCTAACCGCATCGATGAGTCGTCTGATGTCCTTATCCTTTGTACTTTCGTCGACTTCAACCACTACACTTGTTCCGCAGAGAAAGAGTGCGCGAATGGTATCAAAGGTAGGAGAACCTGGAATGTCGAGGATGTAGTTCCATTTTGTCAATAGGACCAAAAGTTAAGATATACCCAAAGTTATCACAAGTAATGGAGTCTTTCTTATGGAAAGGCAGATGTCGGGATGAAGTATGGAATCTCCAGCGCCCATAATGGCGACGGTGCTTTGCGAAAACATGGTGAGTCTTTCGCTGAGTACCGCAGTGGCCTTTTCATTGTGGGTCTGTTCCGAAAATTTGCAGCGATCCCAATCTTCTTCGAAGTGATCACTGGAATCAACAAAGCTCTGTTTTAGACAAGATTTTGATGATTCTCCCTTTTTTTGGTTCAGGAGTGGAAGCACAAGAGAGGAAACCCGATTAATGTCACAGGAGTTTCAGTCGTTCATCATCTACATGAGCTTGGACGGCCTTACCTAGGTACTGCTGAATGATCTTTCCCCAAAAATCTTACGTTAAAGGGATAGAACTTGAGAGAGTTGTGCGCTGATCATGGAATGCTGTAGTGGTTCCTATGCGATGATCCCAAAATGGCACTGATAGGTGGTACCTAGAGAATTGAAATTATTTTTTCTGCTTTTTGAAAGGTCACACCCACTCTTCGGCCTGGAACTATCAACTGCACCGACAACATTGGAACAATCGCATACCTGGCGTTTTTCAGGATCAGGACAATCACACCGTTTTTTTTCGCCATTTTGGTTTGGCGAAAAATTGGTTTGGCGAATTTTGGTTTGGTTTGCGCCATTTTTCCCTATTCAACTCCTCGTCGGGAAAGCCAACTTATTCTGGGTATCCATGCAAGGAAGCAAGAATGCGCTGCTTTGATCCCTTGAGCCATTCTCCGGCGTGCGACGACTCCAATGANATGGCACTGATAGGTGGTACCTAGAGAATTGGAATTATTTTTTTTGCTTTTTGAAAGGTCACACCCACTCTTCGGCCTGGAACTATCAACTGCACCGACAACATTGGAATAATCGCATACCTGGCGTTTTTCAGGATCAGGACAATCACACCGTCTTTTTTTCGCCATTTTGGTTTGGCGAAAAAATTGGTTTGGCGAATTTTGGTTTGGTTTGCGCCATTTTTCCCTATTCAACTCCTCGTCGGGAAAGCCAACTTATTCTGGGTATTCATGCAAGGAAGCAAGAATGCGCTGCTTTGATCCCTTGAGCCATTCTCCGGCGTGCGACGACTCCATTGATCTTTGTGATACAGGGCGGTCCAGTCGTTTCTTGTTGCAGAGAACGCCAGTCGTCGAGCGCCATTTAGACCAAGCCACACATACACGAGAATAATTTCGTAGGTCAAATTGCTGTCAGAAGAGATTGTTAACCTGTGATACTTGAAGGGAGCTAACTCGTGATACGTGAAGGGAGATGTACAGATGTACTCGAAAGCTCAGTGCTGCCAATCTTGATATTGCTTTGCTCGCCTGACTCCACGGTCACTGTACTCGGTCTTTTTGACGTTCAACCGGAATCCGAATATTGTCAAGCGTCTGGACAAATCTTGCACCTGTTGGTCACGAACATTCTTGTCCCTAAACGTTCGTATGGCGCCATCTATTCTGAAGATGTCGTGCATTGTTATCTATGACAGCAACGAGTAATGGTGAGGAAAGCGCAGAGCATCGCTGTACCACGATGGAGATGAGTAATTCTAAAGTGGTACCTGCTACCGTTTGTGCTCAACTCGCTGGACTCGAGTAGAGTATACGCACCCACTCAGTAAACTTATCAGGATTCCCATGTTGTCGCAGGGCATACCATATAAAATCACGCGGCGCTATCGAAGCTTTCTCTTCGTCTATTGAAGCAAGATGCGCTGCTTCTTTCTTTCCAACAGGAGACGAGCGGCGTGTATCGCATAGCTGCTGTAGCGAATACCAAAACCGCACCAGTTGGTGGAAAGCTATGCGACGTCTCGAATAAGAAAATCTACAGTTAGTCAAAAATCTTCATATTGTGCGAGAGCAGGCGAAATGGGCAATGGCTCATGCACTTGGCAGAGCTGTCCTTCTTCTTCTTGATCGGGTTGTTGACACCCTGTTGCTATTCACAGGCATCTTTTTTTCTGCGAATACGAGATTGCGGATTGAAGAGCCATGCTGCAGGATTCCAGCACCGTGTCTTCCAGCTGTTGGCTGAAGAGGTCCAGTGTTCAGGGCCATTTGCCCTTTCAGACGTCATCTTCACAGCTGTTTTCACTCGAATTTACTCGATTTGACTTGATGTTTTGTTAACTGCTGTTATTTCGCCGCAGTACGCGTTCCGAAAGTCTCACAATGTTGGCGATTTATGGACAAAACGTTCAGTCTCGTACAGTAGCGGACCCGTTCTTGTGCTTTCCGGGCACCGTGCTCTATCCCTTACACTAGCGAGACCCCCTTGCCCTCGCCTACTCGATGCTTCCATTTCCTTCACCGTTAACATCTGTGCGATAGTGTATGTACACCGGCAGGGCGAGGCTAGAGACGGATGAAGAAATTCTACTGTTGAGATATTCACAATGTAGTTGTGCCATTTCTTTACTGCTCTCTTGCGAATCATTAGAAGGTGCAAACCTTTCTTCATCAATGTCGAAATTTTCTTGTTATTAGGCAATGGCGGGTTTCAGCAATATCGTGATAACATATAACGTTCGTTATACTGTATTACGAGTTTTCAATGACATCATAATAATGAACGGCTTTTGCGGCCTCCACAACCTTCTTTGCCGTCAGTTTGTTTCCCGTAGTCCACCCAGTCATATGACGTCTGGTCCTTTTCATGCTTTGCGCGATCGCGACAGATGGCAGTCGCCTCTTTTTCTTTTATTCGCCTCGCCTGATTTTAGTTGGTACACTTCGTCCAGACGGCTGTCTCCTACGATTCAGTGTTCGCAACTGTCACAAGCCCTTGAACGTGGTGTCTGGCGAGAATATGTTTTATTCGCGTTTTGCTTTGCCACTGCAAAAGGTGAGAGATGTGATCCTCGTTTCCGAAATTAGTATTGACGATGGTGAGGTCACGCGAGGTCAGCGTGTTCAAGAATTCGCTCAGGGCCACCATTACTCGGCCCTTAACCAATTCCATAGCAACAAATGCCTTCGAAGTACAAGTGAGCCCATTTTGGTCACGTGCAACATGGATAGTTTTTTTGATGGTACTTCAGTTGTCTTCTTGCCATGGAGGATCCAGAATCCTTCTCCATTTGCTTGATGCAACCATTGTGTGAAGCCTGTGGATGAAGAAAATGTGACACTGTCTGCATTCTCAAAAACGAGAGCAACCTTCATCAGGCAATTACTAAATCGTTCGACGCTGGCAATCGAATCGCGGGAACAATAGGGAACAATAACTCCAGCTACTGTGGAGATCCTGTGCTCGCTGCAAAGAATGGTTTTAAAGCCGCTACCGATGTCCCTCAACCTGCAGTTCGGACATATTGCCCCTTGCCTGTACAGAAACCATCCGTCCACGCCTCAACGCACCTACGACCTCACGGGAGCGGCCTGTCCACATACCAGTATTCAGGGGTACATTACGAATCTTCTATTTCATGGGAGAGTTCTGGACTAGCACAGCATGTTCACATGCAGGTCATCCCGCCACGATGGCCAAACACTGCTTTTGAAAATAGATTCTATACGACTTGTTTGCGGAAAGGAGTAAACAGCAAATGGGTTCTTCCGTTCACCCACACAATCATTTCTGGATAGATCTGCATGTCAGCTTCCGGTAGAATAGTTGTAGAGGTTTCTTCATCACTGCTTCAGCTTAGCATTCGCAAATCTCCGGATTGGCCAGTGACGAAGAAGCGGGAAGTTCAAGACAAACTAGGCTTGTGGCTTACATATATAAGCGTGGACGTGAGGGAGTGAAGAGTTTCGGATGAAACTTTAAAAGGCATTAGCACGAAAAAAAAAACAAAAAAATTTGATCATTGGACCTCGGGCAGTGGTGCACGCTGTACAGTTTGGGCTTGACTGGAAGACTGTCTTGATCATTCACGAAGATAAGTTCAAACGGGGACAAATCCACAGGTGCCTCCGGAATCGCCCGTCTTTGCAGATACTGCACCAAGCACTCTTCGAGGAATGACAGATTCCTGTTTCTGAGCGTGATAGAGATCACTGCTTGACAACCTGAAGTTATAACTGTCCACACCTTGTAAGAAGTATCTTACAGAAAATTATCGTGCCTCTAAGCTTGACCCATATCAGCTGAACGTCGCCAACACAAAAGACATATGCGAACGACTGATTGCTAGGTAGTACAAATGGCGGAGAAGCTTCCAATGAAATTCCATGTATATTCGCAAGTCGTTTGTCCATGAACCATTTGCACATCTCTTAAAAGAAGTCTTCATGAATATAGCATAGATACTGAACACATACCAAGAACATGGAGCTGCTCATGAAGTGTTTCATGCTGCAGTGCGGCGAACACCGAAGCCACTTTCAGTTGGCATTCTGTGGATGAGCAAGGAAAGATTTCAATCCCCTGCGTCTGCTCGCTCAGATACTCCTGGACCAGCTCCTTTAACATCAGCATTTATACCATATCATTGTAGAACTCCTTCTACCACTAGAAACAACTTACATCGTACCACATAGCTATCATTTCCCCACATCCGGTATTCGCTGCGCAGATGATTTTCTCGATTGCTGTGGCGGCCTCATGCGTGAGTTCGAACACGCCATGGAGCATTAGGGCGTGAAGATGAGCTCTAGAGTTAGGTAGGAGAGCAATGCCGCTCTGCATGATTCTGGAGAATGCCATGTCAAACAATCGACAGAAGGTCGCGTCTGTAAGGATCAAAAAAGGAGGATAAACATGTAGTTGGCCTTGATTAGTTCATTGGTGAGCCGTTTTCATCGAGATTCGCAGAAAGTGCACTTCGTGTTCTAATATGGTCGGTTTGGAATGTTTCTTAGAACAAAGGAACTTTCTGAAGGTTGCAGGACGGTGTGTGCATTTTTTGCTTCCATAAATTGTTAAATTAGAAAAAACTGGTATCAGTTCGTTGTGAAAAAAGAAACGTATGGCCGAGACAGCTCAGAATCAGACCTATGAAATCGAAGTTTGTCTGAAGTAGATGAAACGAAGTAGAGTTCCCACTTTTTGAACCCCTACAACGAGTTCTAAAAATAATTCCCCTACCATTGAGTTTAGGGAGATTGGACCAGTGCAGGAAATGCTTCGTCTTCCATTTAGCAACCAGCAGTAATAGCTGGACAGCCTCCTCAGTAGTGAGTTTCTCAAATAGCCCATTGAGAGCACACGCCGGCAGAGTATCAACCAGTGCAACTTCAGCGCAGGCCAACGCTTTGACCCATTCATCCATCTGCACGTAGCAGACCATTCGAGTCAGTGCATCCTTCAATTATACTGAAATTTCTTTGACTATATAAGCAAAAGCGCGAGAAAAGCTGACCTTTCCACCGGGAATCATTCTCAAAGTGAATTCTGGAAGGAAAAATGCCAACTGAGGGAGGACCTTTCGATCGAAAAATCCTTGCTCGACCAGTTTGAGGAGCAATGTTACTCGACGTCGTAAAGGGAATACCGTAAGCCTTTCAGCAGCCTGGAACATATGCAGATATCTCACACCATTTGAGGTTTCCATTGTCTACATTGAGAATAGCTTTAGGTTAGCGGAAACGATGTCTACTACAGAAAACTTGCATATTGGAGTTCGGCAGAGTTCGGCAGGAAATAAGCACAAATGTCTTCTCGACAAAACTTTTACAAAATTTGATAATGAGAGTTCCTCTGAACGATAGAGAGAGGGAATAGGATAGTGTTGCATCAAGCGTGTGGGAGGAAGGGTGGAGAGATTTTATGGCACACTTGCAAATAGATATTTATGTTAACATTCAAAGAGCTCGAAAGACAAGCAGAGAAATCAGAATCTATAGGTAACAGTGTCTAGTCAGCAGTACCTTTAGCAGAATGTCCCTATGCGTCTGTAAAGGGCTGTCGAGCATTTCAATCAGGAGATGTCGTGCTTCGTCGAGCATACCCAAGGAATAGTAGACGTCGAAACATTCTAGGAGAATATCCGCCTGAAATTTCCATGATACGTAGCGCAAGAATTTCAAGAACTGCCTGCAACCAACACATACTGTTGTATATAGCCATTCTATGAACGCTAACCCTCGAAAAGAGTTGATGAATGTTAATAAGAGATGATGATACAGCATCAGAAGCTCCCTATATAGCTCTGTAGATGCGTTATAACAACGGAAACATTCCTTTATTGTTATTGAACGATTTCAAGACGGCAGTGGATTCATAAACAAGTCCCTAGTTGGAACTCGGTACGGTGTTAGAAGAGTGGCGTATAGCGACACATGGGGTCTTAGTATATCGGCGACACTGAGATCAGATCCTTAGTCAAGAATGCCATATAGTAATAGAACTTGAATCGTAAGATTAATTGATGTTATATTGCCCTTTTTATTAATACGCATCACAATGACGCTGTCGTGGCTCCCGCCCGACTTCTCAAAGTGCCACGCCTGGGCGGGCGCGCGGGGGTCCCGTACCGAAGAGCGTATCGGCGCTTGCGCGTCGGCTATAGTAGACGTGTGAAAACATCCGGCAGTGTGTCTAGGTGTCGTCTGCTGTCGAACTTACCCAAGCATGAAGACGTGATGCAATCCGACTGGNTGAGATCAGATCCTTAGTCAAGAACGCCATATAGTCATAGAACTTGAATCGTAAGATTAATTGATGTTATATTGCCCTTTTTATTAATACGCATCACAATGACGCTGTCGTGGCTCCCGCCCGTCTTCTCAAAGTGCCACGCCTGGGCGGGCGCGCGGGGGTCCCGGCCCGAAGAGCGTATCGGCGCCTGCGCGTCGGCTATAGTAGACGTGTGCCATGGCCTAAAACATCCGGCAGTGTGTCTACGTGTCGTCTGCTGTCGAACTTACCCAAGCATGAAGACGTGATGCAATCCGACTGGATGTGTAGTGATCGACTCGGACATGGAAGCCCAAAGGCGCCGAGCAGTCCCAACTCACGTCATCTTCCGTGTGACTTAACGGCTTAACGCACTGGGGAAGGTTATATCTGGTTGGATTGATGTAGTTGGGCCAAACTTAGAGAGCGAGCGCAATGCTGCTCTTAAGCACGGCGGATCCGGATGCCCATCTATAACGAGGAGCAAGGCGTCGCCGCCAGCGCGACAATCTCTTTGACTAATAAGGATGAATATCCGTTCGCAATGGCCATTCAAGATTGTATGGTACCGCCGTATGCGTGTTGAAACGCTGATTCCAAGCCTAATCTCGAATTTGTCAATAAGGAATGACTGGAAATCGCAGAAGAAATGCCTGAATAGTTCTTCTGAATAGTTAGAAGCATCTCTGCAGAAGGCTACATAGTTTCAAAAATCAATTACACTGTATATGATACACCTCAGTGGATCGGTTGGCATTTCAGGGAAGACCGTGTGCAGCAAAAATTAGGGGAGTATTTGAAAGTTATATAAAGGCACGAGTCACGATGAAATTGGGGATCAACTTTGAAATAATAATGAAAGCGATAGAGAAGAATAGTGCAAAGCAGTGAAGAAGACGCGAAATGGCGTATTTGAATAGTTGTAAGGCTTCAAAAAAGTAATAAAATCGGGGTTGCATGAGTACGTCATGAAAAAGTTGCATAGAAGGGATAACTGGACGAGCTGCGTAAATGTGTGCGTCATTGCGCACAGACGGCTATAGTAAGCGGCCTAGTCCAGAGTGTGCGTCTTGGTGCAAATGGCGCACAGCTACAGATCACAACTCGTGCGCCTTTGGATGTGAAATCGGCTAAGCGGATTTTTGGTGCCCCTATTACCTTCTGTCTAGGCCGTTTTTGACCCGACAGCGTCGCTTCTGCTATCATTGGGTTTCACAGGTTCGTTCTAGAGAGCAATCTCAGAATAATTTTCATCGTGAACTGTGCCCTTAAAGGCATTGCTCACGATAAAATTGGTGTCTGAGATTACCCCATAGTTTAAATTAGAGGCCACCTTTTACCACAACTGTGGTTGTAAGGTCCGTTGAAAAAGTCCAGACGGGGCCTGGGATTGGGTCGTGTGAATGCCACACCATCTGACTAACAAATCTGATAGTCAGGCACCAGTGCTCGCATGAAGCAACTTCGGCGAAAATTCAGTCAGCTGATCGGCATAGGCTGTTATCTTTCAAATTCTCTTATTCCACGACAGCTGGTTATGACTAAGGATGTTTTGAATACCGGTATCTTCTCTGTTAGAGGCAGCGATAAATAAGAGAAGCGCAGAATAAAACCATATGCCATATGCCAGAATCACTGGCTGGTTGGAAAACAATTTTGAACACTTTGGCTTACTGCAGTTAGCTGCAGGCGATGACACCAAATACCGCTTCCATGCAATCCGTCACATTCTCGTCTACCCCTTAGTTTCAGTAATTTTTCATGCCTTATGTTCCTTTGAATACGCGGAATACGAATCTTCACATTTCCTTAGCTACCTTTGCACTGTCCGGGACTGATAGTTTCATCAACAATTGAAAACTCGATACCCTAAAATTATCGTGATTGTGCCTTCAGGAGGGACACACCGAAAAGGCATGGCATTCGTGTAGAATAGTCTCGTGGTACACACACCTTTAATCGCTGTTACCTTAAAAGAACTCTACCGTATTGGTATGCATATACAGTGAGGACGACCCTTTATTTTCAAGCATCAAAACCGAGCGTTATAGGGAGGAACGCTAACCTGGTCGTGGATATTGAGATTGCGAACGAGTTTTCTGGCTGCGGCGATTATTTTCAAGCTGGTGAGGTGATCGAGGTCGGCGCTGAATTTGGTCAAACGGATCATTGATCTCAATACTGCCTTCTGATCCGTTTCGTGGTCAATCAATTCCAAGTGACGTCGTAGTCGCTCCGAGATCTGTAAAATCACTCTCATTATTAATATCAAGCGATCAAAATCCTTATGCCAATTAGTGATCTCCTTTTCGGCATCACAGAGAAACAAATGATTTTTTTAATACCCATTGGTCATGAGTTGTGTTTATATCGCACGACTACGACCCAAGTAGATCTTCTGATGTAAAGAGCGGTCAGCTGCAGTTCAACAACCCTATAATGAGCCATAAACCACTAGATCATCCTAAGGTACCGCAACCGCATCCGTTGAGTTGTTGTCGAGCTTCCCGATGCATACTTTCAACATCCATTATAGATTATGGAGTTCATAAACTAGTGACTGAATCGCATACAAATGCAATGCGGGCGAGAGCACAGTTGAGCGTTGACATCACCTGCACTCGAGAACTCCGACAAGCCTGATGCATCGTTGGTCTTATCATTCTTTGCAGTATTCTCGGCCACTCAGTTTGTCACAGGTGTGATGACTATAGGCAAAGATGAAGGAGCATAATAAATGAAAAGATTTATATACACACTTTATTTAGGGTTGCTGTGATAGATAATTAGATAGATAATAATTAGATAAATAATTTGTCTAGCCTAACAGTCGAGGGTTCCTGTCTAGCCCAACTGCATTGCAAAGTGGATGACGTGTGGAAACAGGTATAAAGACTGGTGTGATGAGGATGTGAAGAGAAATTGTTTCATCGTGAAAAGTAAGCCAGCGATACTTGTCAAGATAATGACCCGTATATAAACTCTCTCCAGTACGAATGAATATTCATTTGCTAAATTGTGTTCGCTCCAGAAAGTGGTGCACCGGCCGAACTTATCGAGCTGAAGAACAAGCGGAGCATCGGTGGAAGCGAGTCAAAACTGTAGGGCAACCTCACCAGGAAACAGGTCAATATTTAGGAAGCAACTTCCTTCAGTTTACGGTGAAAAGGAGAGCAACAAAATCACTGGATTAGAATAATCTGCCTAGTTCTCAGGATTGAAGCTCGAGGCATTATCCTTGCAGTGTAATCTGTTGTACCACGAGGAAAGTCAGTCTAAGTATTGGGTTGTCCGAAAAGTCTCCGCCAATTTTTGATTCATCTTAGTATGAGAATTCCTACAAGAAGAAGCCTATTTATTGAACAATGTATCCTCCATTCTGTTCAATAAGAACTCTCAATCCTCCCATAGGTTCTAGTCTCCCACTTTCGTAGAAGGTTCCAGACTCAAAATCGAAAAACCCTTCAAAGTGCTTTTTGCAGTCCTCCAGCCGATTGAACGATTTTCCATTCAAAGAATTCTGCAGGAACCTAAATAAGTGGTATTCTAATGGTGCTATGTCCGGACCATATGGGGGGTGTGGTAGTGCATCCCATCCAGGCTTTAGCAATTTTTGACGGGTGGCCAAAAATACGTGTGGTCTGGAGGTACCCTGTTGGAAGATTACGTCCTCACATTGGCATGTTCGGTTCACTTCTGGTTTATCGCTGCCTCCATTTTTTCAAGCAAACTATAGTACCTCTCTGTAGTCATCGTTTGATTATGCGACAAGAGCTCATGGGAAGTGATTTCCCTAGAATCCCACCAGCAACTCGGCATAGTCTTCCGCTCCTAGATCTTGACTTTTGCAGCGGTTTGTGACGGCTCACTACGGAGGCTTCACGACCGTTACCCCTCCTCATTGTTGCACACGAACCTCTTTTCGTCCTCTGTACCTATACGCTTCAAAAATAGCTCATTTTGATTTTGTTTGAGCAAGGGATCGCACACGGAGGCACGGTCCAACATATTGCGCTCGCTCATTTCGTGAGGTATCTCAACATCAAGGCGCTTTACAAAACCAAGATCCAGCAGATGATCATGGATGGTCGATTTCGTAACATAAAGCATTTGTCCTCCTCCACGATTAGTGATTTGCCGGTTCGCTTCGGTTCACGTTTGATAGTCTCCCTGGAGGTTGTCGATCTTCGAGGGTGAATTCACTCTGATTGGATATCGCAAACTACTCATGCACTGTACATTCTTCTAGAGCATAGTCTACTCAAACGTCATATATCTTTCTTGCGGCTTGAACCGCACTCTAGGCCTTGCGGTAGAAGATATACTTTAGATGCCGAAAATGCGCGCAGTGCTTCTCCATTCTCACACGAGTTCTGTACAGACAAACGTCGACAAATATAAATATTGACGAAATCTTAACAGGAATATAGAGAAGGACCTACTCTCTCAGAAAATATATAACTCTATGAGGTTGAGAACTTGATTTTTCGTACAACAGTTGGTAAATCCGGGGTGTCGAAAATTGGCGGAAACTTTTCAGACAATCCAATACTAATGGCAACATGCCTGAGAACGAGAAAAGGGGTGTTAACCAGGCATTCTAATGCACTGTCCCAATCATAAACGAATATTCAACTTGGGCAGATAGTGTAGGTTGAAGATCAGAAAGCATGCGGACTCAGTTTAGCTGAAATTCAAAGTGTTAAGGTAGAAACTAAAAGGCTTCAACCAACGTTCGAGAATGTTGTAGCAACTGCTACCATACTCACAATACTTGCTGAGACGAGGCAATCACCACAATAAGGCTCATACGTCAAGGTGGGTCTACGCGCCCTTTTACGAGTACCATTCTTGGACTTGGTGGTCCGCAATACAGCAATGCGCTATCCGCAATACCCAAAACTTGGTTCCAACCGGCGACTCAATATCCGACACAATATCCAACGCAATATACGACGCAATACCCTACCACACAATATTCAACTGCACAATATGCTGACGTTCAAAGAATACTTATAAAAAATAGCTTACATCGCCAATTAAAACATTGAAGTCCAAGAGCACACAATTGGAGGATCAACGCAAACTCCGCGACAAGCTATCTGCCATCACAGCTCAGCTTGTTTTCTTCGGAGGATCTTTTTGGAGTCGATGTGCAGGGTGTTCTGTTGGACTCAATTTATGCCGCTGCAGACGTCGAACACAGAACGAAATAGAAGAAGCAAAACGCCAAGAAGACAAAAAGCGCATTTCTATCTTCGTTCAAATAAAAGAAATGATAACGGAATTGAAGAGAGAGGTCAGCGTCAAGCATATGGAACTACGAGCAGAAATGGACAAACAAAGAGAGATCATGAAAAATCTGTGCGAAGAAATTGAAAAACATAAAAAGAGCCAACTTCGATCGATAGGGGCAAGAGCATACAAAGAAGAAAACAAAGCCAAAGGATGTAAACACCCATTTGGACACAGCTTCGAAGAGCATAAGAGTCATAATGACTGCATCAATGCTATTCCCTACTTGTCTGACGATGACAACACAACTCAGAAGAGGTACCTCGGACATCAGAAGGAAATGGAATTGGAAGATGAAATTACGGAAATCAAAAAATACTTGAGAAAAAACCGAAGTGTACTAGAACGAAAGATAAACGAAGATGATCCGGTAAGACCTCGAGAGCGATACGTGAACTGTTTTATCCGCCTGGCGAAAGGAAGACATTAGTCAGGTAGCACGATGCTAACTATGCTTGTATTGTCGACAAACACGCAGCATTGCCGAAATGAAATAAGTCGGTTCATGTACTGCAGATCATAACAAACACTCTGTACATTGCCGAAAGAAATCAGAAATGCTACAAAGAAGTTGGGGAAATCAATCTCGGACTTGAAAATTTCAGATAATATTACGGACCCCGTGTGCCATACGACTAGCCATTTCCATGTTCAATGTCACGAGCGTGACCATAGGTAATGAGAGATGAAAGAGTATAATAAATCAAAAGACTTCTTTACACACTTCATTTAGAGTTGCTGTGATATTATTGTGTTGTTTGTTTACATAAGTGGTCCGTCTATTTCAACAGTCTAGAGTTCCTGTCTGGCCCAGCTGCACTGTAGTGTTGATGACGTGTAGAACGGATAGGAGTGGTTTTGTGAGGATATGAAGAGTACCCTTAAATTCCATAGATAAGAGCAGTTTGATTTACCGGTGAAAAATGAATTGGAATGAAATTGAAATTGAATGCAGTCCCCCCCCCCC